CATATACATCCCTTCTCTTTACACAGCCACTCGTTTCTGGCCCCGGTTTATATTTAGTCGATATTTCATCCGTTTTACGCTGAACCCGGTCAAGCCGATTATTGCACGGTGCTACGGCAGCACTGTTTTGTAATCAAGTGGATAAATCGCTCGACTTTGAGAACCCAATTTAGGGCAAGACACACGTCAAAAGCACGATTACAGTCATATTGCTTTTATGTTCGCGTGCTTCTTCATTAATCGAGCGCGTCATTTACATTTCGAATATATACAATTCTTTTCCTCAATTTCAAAAATTGTCATCAATAAACAGTAAAAAAAAAAATATATATATATATATTATTTTTTCTAATTTAATAATAAAGCTCAAAGGTTCTATAATATAGAAACACCATTAAATATGCAGAAAGGAAATATACGCGCAGAAAAAAAACTCATTTTTAAATATATATATTTCACACCCAAAGAAATGTTTTATTTGAAACAAATATAGTATATATTATCTTTAAAATAGTTGTTTATTTCAATTATGTAACAATAGTTTCTTTTTAAGAGAAAAATTTAAATATCGAATAACCACAATTACTAATATAAATCTATAATTTCAGGAATAAGAATATTGCCAGGGTATTGAGAAACAATATCCTGAATATTACGATATAATAGACTGAATACCAGTAAAAATAGAAAGCTTTGAAAAATCATAAAAGACGCAATCAAATTCTAAGCTATATATATATATATATATATATATATATATATATATATATTTCGATTCAACACAGTCCAATCGTATTTTGAACGTGCACGCTTTGAGACGAGTTTGTTGGTATGGAAGTAGAGAAAGTGGCTTTGTGCGATAAGCGCGCGAGGTCGACAATAAGAGGGCTAAATATACGTTTTACAATCGACAAAAAGAAAATGTCTTTCCAATTAAAAAATCGTAAAAATCCAAGTGGTCTCTGATGCAATAGAGAACAATTTTTTTTATTTATTTTAAAAAATGTTTGCTTAAAAAATAATGCAATTTGAAAAGTATATATATATATATATATGGCTGCAATTATAAAAAAATCGTAGGAGTCTTTTTCAATTCATATAATATATATTGAAGTGGATCGACATCTGTTGAAATATCATCTCTCTCCCTCTCTCTCTCTATATATATATATGTCCAAGAGATTCTTTATGGTTCTTCCAGAGAAGTGAGATAACACACTTGGAATCGGTTTCATCCCTCGAATCACTCGGGGATTCGAAATAGATGAAAGGAAGACGAAGCGTTTTAATTTCAAAAGCTCAGCTGATGGTTTTGTTACTTTATTTTGATTTTCAACGCTACTTATATTTTGTGAGTTTTTATGCAAGAGAAAAAAAAGAGAGAGAGAGAGGGAGATTTCGAAACCCAAGAGAAATTGAAAGTGAAATCTTAAACGCTGATTGAAGAGTTGTAAATGGAATATTATTTTGATGAAAAAATAAATTCGATAAGGGAATTGATAGTAATCCCGCACATCTCGGCAAGCCAAAATGTTACCAAAGTTAAATTGAGTCCGGAGATTAGTATATATATATGTATAATATTGGTCAACCGTAATTGACCCATTATCATACACTCGTTATCAATTCGAGATTAGACCGACGACCATGACTCCAAATTGATCACTATATAATCAGTGGCCTTTTAAGATTATTGAATTTAAACGAAACACGCATTTCAATATATCAAAGAATAAAATTATTGATTTCAGAAAGAAAAGTCACTAATTTTTAGATTTCATAATTATAATTCAAACAAATCAAAAATTTTCTCTAAATTTGAATAAGTAAGATTTCACTGATGAAATAGCTGGAATTTAGCAACTGAATCACATTTTCAGTCACATTACTGAAAATCAGTAGAATTAATACTGATTTAAACCTGCATTATCATTAATCGGTAAAACAGATTTGTCTGTTTAATCACGAAAAAAATTCCACTAATTTTCACTGATTTATGACTAATTTAAACAGTTAAATCTTATCATTAATCGGTAAAACAGATTTGACTGTTTGATCAGTAAAAAATTCTGCTAATTTCCACTGATATATGACTGAAAAAAATTCGAATTATTATTACTATTTTAAAATGCTAAACCTACATTATCATTAATCGGTAAAATAGATTTGACCCGTTTTACTTAGCAAAAAATTCCACTAATTTTCAGTGTGAAATTCTTTTCAAGTAAGCTGATAAATCCCAAAAATTTAATTAGTAAAATCTCACAGATAAAAATTTTGAGATTTAATTTCAATTTCTGTTGAGAATTTAAAAATATTAACCTTTTTTCGACATTTTTCGTTTTGCAAAAGAAAAGAGATAGGGATTTTTTTTTTTTTTTGGCATCAGGAGCAAAAAAGGTGAGGGTTACAAATTGTAGCCTGAACACGATTCAATATTGTTCAAAGTGGGTCGTACCGAATGAGAAGCGCGCGATACATAAGTAGTGTATGCGCTGCTCTTTGGAAGGTGAGTACCGGCCGCGATGTGCCGAGGCCTCTCTACTTCAGTACACACAGTGACTAAGGTGAGTGAGGTAGGTGAAGTAGGTAAATAGCCTACCGTTGACCCGTCACCTGCGTTCTCGTTCTATCGGGAGCATTGAGAGGTGGAAGAAAGGAGCACGATTCCTCTTTATCCTCATGGACGCCCTTCTTTTTTGGTCTCCTTTTTACACCGCACAAGGGACATTAATAAAAAAAAAAAATTACAACAAAGATGATAATTCCCAATTATAGTCACTTAAAAAGTATCTCCATTGATACTAAACAAGCAGTAGTAGTATTTCCTAATTTATTCCATTTCTCTAGTTTCCTATCTATTATCCCAATATTCATGGATCGGTAAAACAGATTAGGCGCGAAATTCAAAATCAATTTTTTTTTTCATAACCCACAATTTCTAAAATTGTTTTTAAAAATGAAAGAACTGATTTTTTGGACAGAGTTTTTTTTTTTAAATCTGAAGCTATATAAAATGTACAGTTATATACAAGAGGCATATATGCTTGTCATAAACCCCAAAAGAGGATGATTTGGTTAACTGTTCGTCTGCGGGTTGTCATGCAGAGCAAACGACTAGGTCGCTCGATACAATTATGGCTATCGCTGTGTGCGACGACGGCGATGTAGGTAAGTCATCTCAAAGGCGGTTTAACATTGAAACCAGGCCAGCATCGTCGTCGGCAGAAGAGAACTGCGAGATAGTCACTATTTTGTACGCTCAGGCATAATCGATTTGTCGCAATAAAATCATTCGTTTGTGCAATTAACTTGACTTTAGCCTATCATAAATCGCATTTACAATCGAATTACCTGTATCTGTCATATTCTATATACGATTGATCGAATAACATAAGAATCATATTAGTAATTTGATTCCTATTAATTTTCAACTATATCGAACCAATAATAAGTAGAGCAAACTAGATATATCTATAAGTTGAGCCAAAATTCAAAATAAATCTTGGGAGTTTTTCTATAGTATATATATGTCGTAGGCAAATAGAAGAATCCGGCAGTAAGCCTACTGCCTAGGCAGTAAGCTTACTGCCGGCAATTAAAGGAAATCGTTCAGATTCTTCTATTTGCCTATGGAGTAGGCTTACTGCCGGGCAGTAGGCTTACTGCCCGATGAAGATTGGGCATATAGACAACTCGCATCAGCATCCCCAATGTGTGATTGACATAAGTGCATTACAGTAATAATAATTTAATAAATACGGAGAAATTAAATTGAAAGATGAAGTAAAATATAAATTTATGAAGAAATATAATACCTACTGTTTTTTTACTTCATTTGAAAATTGTCATAAAATAAATAAAGAAAATAAATGAAATAAAAACTACACTTTTATTAATTATTTTATAGGTTTAAGAGAAATTCAAGAAATTAATTTTCATTGTAATATATTTTGGCTATTTATACTTAAGAAATAACATTGTATAACATGTGTTTATGAGTAAGTGTCAGCCAAAAGTCGCGATTCAAAACAATTATTTTAATTATATACTATAGCTATATTTTCCTCGTTTAGTATTTACAGTGTTAAATTACTGTAACTCTATTCTAATTCATAACGAGTGAAAAATTTTGTATTTACAATTCGCAAATGTCTAAGAACCGTTGAAGTAGAAAGTAGTAACTTTATGTACATTTTTATTTGTTAACCTTCTATTATTTTATTATTAATTATAATAATAATGGATGTCAGTTCAGTGAATCGTTGTGAATTTGAAAAACAATGTAAAAGTAAATTTGAAACTCAAAAAGGAAACAGATCCATGTGGGACAGAGAACAATATGAAAAAGTGAAAACAATTTTGATTAGTGGAAGTGAAAAAAATACTAAAAAATACTATCACTATTCAAAAATGTATGAAATCGTGCAGATTGGTTCTGAGTGCAATTTAATTTTAAAAAGGAGTAGTGGAAGTGACGATCTTGTTTATATGGTCCCGTTTGAAGAATATTATACAAAACTAATGGAAGCACATACTCAAACTGGGCATGGGGGCCGTGACAGGATGATATACTATATGAAAAAAAAGTGGCGCATCCCCAGAAATGCTTGTGAAATATTCAACAATTTATGTGAAACTTGTAATCTGAAGAAATCAAGTAAAAGGAAAGGTGTAGTTGTCAAACCAATTATTTCGCATGGTTTTAACGCACGTGGTCAAGTTGACCTGATTGATTTTCAGTCTTGTCCGGATGGAGAATACAGATGGCTCATTAACTACCAAGATCATGCCACAAAGTTTTTACACCTTCGTCCTATCAAGTCAAAACATGCATCTAATGTCGCAAAAGAATTATCAAAAATTTTCTTCACTTTTGGGGCACCGGCCATATTGCAGAGCGACAATGGTAGAGAATTTGTTTACTTTGTGCAAGAGGGAAACACCTACTCGATGCCCAAGAAGACTGCAACAAAAGGCAAAAAATTGCAGCTGAGAAAATGGTAACATTTTCTCAAGAATTGTTTCCGCCACTTTCTATCGGAGATTGTGTTACCATAACAATTCCTTCTGTTGATCGAGGGCCTTTAGATTTCGGGAAAATCTTTGGAATTATCACGGACTTCAAAAATGGAGTATATCAAGTAGGAACTGAGAATGGAGTGATCAACGTCTGGTTTCCTAGGACCGAAATTGAAAAATCAGGAGCTGCTGTGATGCACCTTCAAGACGTTCAAAGAGATATTTCCATTTCTCTTCGAGAAGCTGCATCTTATCAATCCAGCGGTGGAGGTCAGGGCTACAAAAAATGTAATTGTATGGCTACAAAAAGTCAATGCTCCACGAAACGCTGTTCCTGCTTCAAGTCAAAAATTAAATGTGGTTCACGGTGCCACAATGCAAATCCATGTAATAATAAATAATAATAAATATTTGTTGAAAATTGACAATTTTAAAAAATACACTTCGTCGACGTAACTTCAATTTTCAGAAGTTTAATTAATAAATAAACAAAATAATTAAGAAAAGTGTAGTTTTTATTTCATTTATTTTATTTTAAAAACAGTAGGTATTATATTTCTTCATAAATTTATATTTTACTTCATCTTTCAATTTAATTTCTCCGTATTTATTAAATTATTATTACTGTAATGCACTTATGTCAATCACACATTGGGGATGCTGATGCGAGTTGTCTATATGCCCAATCTTCATCGGGCAGTAAGCCTACTGCCCGGCAGTAAGCCTACTCCATAGGCAAATAGAAGAATCTGAACGATTTCCTTTAATTGCCGGCAGTAAGCTTACTGCCTAGGCAGTAGGCTTACTGCCGGATTCTTCTATTTGCCTACGACATATATATATATATACGAAAGTCATAAATCTGATTCAGAACGCGAAGATGGTGTCAAAAGATAAATCAAAGGTCAGAGCATCACCTTAACATACAAAAATGCTTTCAATTTTTTAAATTTGCAAAAAAAGAACTAATATATAAAACAAGAAAAACAAAATATTCTATAAATTATAACAGTAAAAAAAGCAAATATTTGATTAACTATGTTTTAACACGACGTAAGTCGATCAGAAATCCTGGCGGTAGTAATCAAGTTAATTGAACTTGTGTCAGACATCGAAGTAAAAGATAAAGAAGAGAAACATCAACTACATATCAGAGAGTATACGGAAGTTGAGAAATTCCTTCAATGAACTCGCAATCTCAACAAAACCTTATCGAACAAAGTTTACTTTTTACTTACATATATTATGATTTAGAAAATTTATGTCAAAGTCGCAAAAAAAGTCTAGTTTCAAAACCTAAATAATGCCAGATTATATATGCGCAAATATAATCTCACAAAAGCCATCAAACGTTCATTTTAACATGCACCACAGCTTATATATTCTAATCCTGAATCTAAATAATTATTCCTATTGCGTGAAAAGGATACATATTTGAATAATTTTAACCGCGCTCATCTGTAAATCTGTGCTAAATATACCCAAAAAAAAAAAAAAAAAAAAGGACAAGCACTTTCCCCTTTGGGTTCAAGTTAAAAATATCTTAAATAAGTAGAAACGTGACAGAATTCGTGATTTGAAGGAACCTAGCAATTATTACGTCACATGAGTAAAGTGCGCGCGTGTGAAAGTCTAAAGGTACGTCCGTAATCCGTAAGAAGAAATCGAGTTTCGCGCTTCTGGCGTAAATGCGCTCGGCTAGGTCAGGGACGAAGTTAGAGCCAATCGATTAGATCCACCGAATGATGGCGCAGCCTTGCCTCAAATGCGTTAAACACACATATATATATATATATATACTTAGTAAATAGCAACGGTCACTTAATTACATTGCATTTTCCACTATCTTATACTATACCCGCACTCACTATATGATAAAAAGCTTTTTGCACAATTAGAAAACAGCACTTCATTTTGTAAACAAAACAATCAACTCTATATAGTTCCCTTTAAGTAATTAATTTATTATTTATCAAACGTAAATGTAAAGATATTGAAAGAATGACGAGGACAATATAGAGTGGGCACAAGTATATAGTCGTGTAGGTAGAGGGTTAACAAATGCAAATGTTATTTCGACATATATCTTACACCGGATTTCTATTTGAAAGTATCGAAACAATTTCTTATAAATCTTAATAGATTTTGACAAAATTGACCCCTTTATCTATTTAGGAAATTGGTTAATTAGATGAGTATAGTTTCACTTATATGTATTTATAAATAATTGGAGTCGTGCTGTGAAGAACAATAAACGCGATGTTTTGACCTTTTGTCCCTATAGGAGAATAATTGTCGTTAAACTTTCATTTATAAAAGGACACAATAATCGCTAAATACATGCACTAAATAAATGTCAGGTATATTAAGAGAGAAAGAGAGAGAAAGACAAGATGAAGAACATAACCTCCTTTCACACATATATATATACAAAATCGAATGCGTATACCAATAACATGTATATATTATACGAGTAGAAGTCGTAATTTAAGCAACCTTGTTCCAATGGCCTTTTCACAGGCATTGCGATTAATACTCTCAAATATCTCAAGTGAGCATTAAATTAGCGCATGGAAAGCGCAAATGTATGGAATTTCTTGACGGAATGTTTCACATGTATAGGGCACAAAATATTTATCATTATTTCGATTTAAAAATCTTCATTCTATTACACAATAAAAAAAAAACCAGTTTTCTTAATGAAAATCAAGAAAAATTATTTTAAAAAAAGGAAATAAAAAATCATTGAAGAAAGAAACAAACCCGCAAGATAAAAGCAATAAAGAAAGTTTGTTAAAAGAAATATATATAAATTAAAAATAAAATCGGCAAGTCACGCGATCTACAAAGACGTGAATTACGACCGAAAGAAATACACCGTTTCGTTACCATATACCTGGTGGTGATTGTATCGGTACGAGGTGAGGCGAGAAGATGAGAGAATTGAATCAAGAGACCGGAACGAGGACGTCCCAATAGCAACTTTGCTTCGATCTACTTCATTTTTTTTTTTTTTACGCCGACAATTCAATAATAAATAAAATATCTCATCGCATATATAATTAATTGCCCTATTAAAATCAGACTAGAACCTTGTGAGGTTCATTGGCTCATTGCAACAAAAATGACTCCCATGTTTTTGTCTGTTTTAACTAATTTATGCAACAAAACAATGATTTCATTCATATATTTGAACATTCAGAATTTCAGAAAAATTTTCATTAATCGAATGATGAATATAACAACCAAAAAATATTTCTTGATGAATTTTAAAGAATTGCAGCCTAAGATTGAATGCTTCCCGATTTGCTAATAATGTAATAGACAAAGCAGTGGGTCGTGTGTACTAGACTATGACATTCTTCGTTCAGATATATTGCGAATAGTCGGGAGTGTGGTGTGTGCCCAACCCAGCCCAGCCCAACAAGTAATTGGGTTATCATTGGATAGAGTGTGAAACCGAGGCTTTCTAGCTTTCTATGCTTATATCAAGGATGTCCACATTACGAAGGATCCCCCCCTTTTGCTTCTTTATACAACCACTTAAGATAGTATTATTAGACACTATTATCCGACCTCTCTGCTCCCCTTCACACTTCATTAACCTTTCATTTTAATTCAGAAGTCTTATACCTTAATTTTTAAATTACTATTTATTCTTTAAATTATTATTTCAAATATTCACTTTTGGATATACATTTCTATATATGTGAAATTCTATATATAATAATGAAAACGTATATAATGTCAGAAACAGACTCTGATCGATTCAATTGCATGTCTGTCATTTGTAAACCTTATCATGTAATCGGGATCTCGCATCTGTTCCAGAAAGAAACTCATCAATCTGTTATTTAACAGATTTGAAACAATTTATAAAATAATAATGTGTAACAAACATCTTTTTTTTAAAAAAAAAGAACCTAATTAGTTATCAAGATTTAACAAAGGAAACTTTCACCAACGATGATAAAAGTCAGAAGGTGAATTAAGGTAAGATAATAAATTAGAAGGCAAATTTCAAAACGTTAGAGCGCAAAAACGTGATTTCTTCATCTCTTTGATTATCTCGTAAGGATCGAACTTAAAAAAAAGAAAGAAAAAAAAAGACGGGGAGAGTTTACCTCAACAGAAAGTTAGACCTTATGCGAAACGACGACAATGGATTTGGCCTCGTAAAATGAGAGTTCTCTTTACTTTCCCTTGAGAGAACAAGCCGAAAGGCACATCTTTATTCGAGCTTGCTTCTACCAACTTTATATATATATATATATATAATATATACATCTGTCTTCGGAATACATTTTTACATCCGTTCAAACAAGAATTCCCCTATATATTAATGTTCTGTTTCACCAATTTCTCCGAATTTTTTTTTATTTCCCACCAAATTACACAATTTGAGCTCACTCTATCCTTGACGCAAACTTTTTTTTTTCCTTCTCTAATTGAATTATTCTTTGCCAAGGCAAAAGGACTTCCTTTGTGTTTCGTAATAGGGCCATGCTTTTTGAAACAGGAAATTAATTTACTACATTTTGGCATGAAAAAAAAACGATTTCTTATTTCACTCGAGAATTGTAAACCAAAATCAAAATTGATTTAACAGAATTTATCTAAAACATTATTATTAATGGATTAAACTCCGAGAATCAGGAGTAGAAGATGAAAATTATAAGTTTCTTTAAATATTGGGCGGCAAAGTTTTTCTCTTTTAATATATAGGTGTCTTGGTATTCTCATGTCATTTTAATCATCCCTCTACAAGGAACTATCACAAACGTGGTTGAAACGATGTAATCGATTAGCCAGAGGTCGAGGGGGATTAGCACCAGCCGAATGGCTCTCGTCGATTCGCGTATACAGCAGTGAGATCAAGGATACATATATGTAACAAGCGATGAAAAGCACGTGGCGTGAATGGGCTCTTCAGAGAAGGAAATCGCAGTGTAGAGAATGCATCATTATTATTTTCCATGAGAGCGATTTAGATGAAGCGTTAATACAAAAAAAAATTGACGCATTTTATCCAGAATACAATCCAATTTAAATTGGCAAAATTTTATAAATTTTATACAATACAGAACAATAATGTCCAAACATACACGAACATATTCCTAATTGTTCTCCAATTTCAAGGTTTATTTATTTTTTTTTTTTTGCGTATAGGGAAAATACGGTGAAGCAAAGTCATTGGTAAAGCACGAAGGGCTAAATTTAGCAGAAAGTGGAATAACCCGTCTCTAGTTTGGTATTAATAGTAGTAGTAGTAGTAGTAGTAGTTGGTTGATTCTCTCTGGTTGGCGTTGAGTATCGAGCGGGGTGAATGCTCTTGCGCAATGCACGCACAGCATTACCGATCGCAGGGACCCATACCAAAACACGTGTATATATTTGAGAG